AAAAAAAAAATACTTGCTTCTGCATGCAACCATGATTGAATATTTTGTAGATCCAACACTCCAACCATAATAACCCATAAAATTTTTGCATCCTCAATTAAGTGATTCGTCACTTCCAGATTTCAAGAAAATGCTACCCCATCAACAGATATGGAAACTGTGCATGCTGCTCTTTGACAACATCCTCGAGCATATGTTATTACTAATACATCATTAATTTTATTTGTACACTTTAAAATCTTTACATCAACTTTAAGATTATCAATCATAGCACAACTTCTTGAAATCCAACGTAATCAAAGACATACAAAGTACATCTTTGGCATGGCTTAAAAGCCAACCAATGCAGACTCTCTGGGCTTTTTCGGCAACTTCAAGAGTGTTATTGCCCAAAAAAGCAGATTCTTTTTGGCTTTTAAATAAAGTCAGACATGCTAAAATCCTATGGAACAAACATGGAAAGCATTTTTGGCTTTCCAAATAAAAAAAAAAAACCAGTCCTGCTAAAACATAACTGGGTAAAGAACATGGGGGTATGTTTATTGAGATGTCAAAATTCCAATTCACAGAACCAGTGAAATCTACAATTCTAAAAGGAGAAAAAATAGGCAGGTCAAGGTTGCACCTTGATTTGTCTCGGAGAAGACGCACATGGGATTGATGGGAACGACATCCTTGAACATATTCAATGAGTAACTCTTTGGCACGTTCGCAACCTCACTTCCCGCCATCTCCATAGTAAACTGGTCCGTATAAAATAATTAACAAAACCATACGTATAAATTCCTTCCTTTTTTTTTTTCACAAATACCAGGCATTACAAACTAAAATTAAATTTCAAATAAATTACATATACTTGAAGAGAAGAAGAGACGTCTGGGTTGAGGGGATCGAGGAAAAACGAGCACTTTGGCTACGGGCGGAGAGTCGGCGCCCGCGGCGGCGGACTCCCCCGCCTTGGAAACGACGGGAGGGCACTTCATCAACCGCACCGACTTCTCAGCACTAGCCGTATCCAAGGTGCTGTTGTTGTTGTAGCTGTTACTTTGCTCATCTTCCATGCTTCTCTGTGTGTTTCTTTTTGGCTATTTTTGGGTCTGTTTCTGACGACGGGGGATTTGCTGATGAAAAAGAGACGACTGAATAGGACCAGATCATGTGTTGGCGGGTCGGGCATTCTGAATCGGGTCAAATATTTTTTATTTGTTTTTTTGTCCCGGAGCGTAAATTACGGGAGCTTTTCCCATTTCGGGAAACGTTTAACTTTCGGACCTCAGTCTTTAGTACCAGTAGCAATTTCATCCTCAATCTTTAAAAGAAATGGCAATTTGATCTGATCATTTCTGTTAATTGGAAAATTTGTTTCGACACTGGTTAAACCATTGTCCCTAAGAGCATCTCCAACAAACTCTTTAAACATGAGATGCTCTCTATTTTAAAGAGTCAACATGTAAAATCATGCTCCAATAGACTCTTTAAATTAAGATTTTAATTTAGAGAGTGGGTATGGCTCTCCAAATTTGGAGAGCCAAACTCACTCTCTATAATTAAATGCATTCAAAAAGTTTCAATTTTCAATGTAGAAAAGCAATAAAATAATCTATAGAAAAACTAGTTAAAATAAAAGATAAAGAAAAATAATAAATATTTTTTGGGAATAGTAAACTTAAGTGTTAAATATAAAGAGTTTGTTGGAATACATCAAAATTTTAACTCTTTAAATTTATAGATGCTCTCCAAATGATAGAATATGCTCTTTAAAAATAGAGAGTCACTTGGAGATACTCTAATTTAAATTGAACAAAAACTTAAGATAAACATACAGAGAAAAGAAAAAATAAAACTTCACCCACCAAAACCCTGCAACCAAAACTAGATTTTAAGGTAGAGATGACAAATTTTTCCATCCCAAATAGTAAATAGGGCGGGAATGGAGATCATAGTCCCGTCCCAAATACCTCGAACTCACCATGAATCTCTTTATTTTATTGTATTTTTTTTTTTAAATATAAATCATATTTTAAAAAATGTAATATTAAAAATATATAATTAAACGAGACGTTAAATTAAAAATTTCAATCCTCATCCCGCTTAAGCTCACATCATATCCCCGCCTTCAAAAAATCCTCGATGAGGTGGGGTTGGTAATGACAGCCTCATATTGCCTTCCCTAATTGTCGTCCATATGTAAGGCCATACACTAGCTCAACCCTCTACCCCCACCCGCTATTGAAACCAAAATATTTCCTACCCATACCCTAGTTCGAAGATGATCCTCAAATGTTAAAAGGCATTTCAATGTTGATTGTTAAGAGTTAAGACTCAAATGGCGACTTAAGCTCTCATTTCAAAGGCTTATCTGGAGGAAATTAAAAGCAGAATTCTGACCGTTAGTGGGTCTCACTGCTGTCTAAATTGTGTGAAGGAAGTCGACAATGGAGTGTACTAACAGTCCAATAATTGTTTAAAATTTGGATTAAAATTTCTAAATATTGGAATCCATAAGAACCACATTGAAGATTAATTATCATATACGATAGAACATGGTTTGAACATCTTTCTTCCTCTTGTGCGTATGAATTTAAGGTTGATATATTTTTCTTCCTCGTGTTTTACCTTTTGATAGTAGGGGTCAACATCAACCTTTCAACTAACCAATGCAAATAACGAAGTTAGGACTTTGGGGTCTAATTTAACTACAAGAAATTATTTCAAACAAAAAATATAAAAAAGGTAAAAAAAGAATAAATTTTCTTTCTCAAATTTCTTTTCACTGGGCCCATGACTGCCTAAATTGTGTGAAGGAATTCGATAATGGAGGCTACTAACAGTCCAACATTTGCTTAAAATTTGGATTAAAATTGCCACCAGACAAGTTCTAAATATTGGAATCCATAAGAATCACCTTGAAGATTAATTATTGTATACGATAGAACATGGTTTGAACATCTTTCCTCCTCTTGTACATATGAATTTAAGGTTGATATATTTTTCTTCCTCGTGCTTTACTTTTTTCCATAGGGGTCAACATCAAACCTTTCAACTAACCAATGCAAATAACGAAGTTAGGACTTTGAGGGTCTAATTTAACTACAAGAAATTATTTCAAACAAAAAATATAAAAAAAGGTAAAAAATGAATAATTTTCTTTCTCAAATTTCTTTTCACTGGCCTCCACAGCTGCCTAAATTGTGTGAAGGAAGTCAACAATTGAGACTACTAGCGATCCAATAATTGTTTAAAATTTGGATTAAAATTGCCACAAGACAAGTTCTAAATATTGGAATCCATAAGAACCCCCTTGAAGATTAATTATCATATACGATAGAACATGGTTTGAACATCTTTCTTCCTCATGTAAGTATGAATTTAAGGTTGATATATTTTTCTTCCTCGTATTTTACCTTTTTACAATAGGAGTCAACATCAAACCTTTCAACTAACCAATGCAAGTAACGAAGTTAGGACTCTGGGGTCTAATTTAACTACAAGAAATTATTTCAAACAAAAAATATAAAAAAGGTAAAAAAAAAAAGGAATAAATTTTATTGCTCAAATTTCTTTTCACTGGCCCCCACATCCCTCTACCAATGGTCACACGTGGAGTTTTGATCCCTACTAATATAAAAGAGCGAATCCACGAGTTACTATTCATTTGTGAAGCATATATCTTTCCCATTTTATCCCAACTAATTAATCTTTATCCCATTTTATCCCCATCATTTACTATTCATTTGTGAATTAGTTTTCATCATCATCTTATCTTATGAAAAATAAAAGGGTAATTCCTTACCTACAATTGTTAACTGGAAAAGACATACCAGTATGCATAAAAAATAAACAAAAACCTGCAAACCGACTTAATGAGAAGAAACCGCCAATTGCAGTTGATNAACCGTCAATTGCAGTTGATATTTTATAAATATCATGTATTGGAGAAGCAAATCAATTCCTGGTATATCTTCCAATTCATTCTTCCTCTCAAATCTTCTGACGTCTCACTCTTTCTCTCTCGTTGTGAAGCTGCAAAACAATCTCTATTGGGTAAGGTTCATATTATAATTGTAATGGTTATATCATTTTACTGGAATGCATAATTCGGTTGTTTACTCATTCTACTAAACATTTGATCCAGGGTTGATGTAATCTGGATTTTTGTTTAGCCTGATGATTTCAACGACCTCAGTTTTCATGTTTAAATTTCACATGACATCCCACTTCAGGTTATCTCTTCATTGTAACCAGGTTTCAAAATAAATCTTGGTTATCAATGATTTCTTTGAACCTACTTCAATTTATATAACAGAATTAGGTTTCCCTGTGCATCTCTCGTGATTTTGTCTTAGATTATTGTTAGCACGTAAAAAATGAAGGGAAAAAAAACCGAAGATTGTAAAATATCTTCTTCCATATGATATTTAGTTGATTCTGTTGTAATTTTATTTAATTGGAATAAGAAAGTGTTGTAATTGCATGAATGTTTCGTTGGAATTCATTTATTTTGCCCAGTTAAAAAAAAAACTTAAATATTGAATCATAAATATAAATTAATAAAGTGCATATTTAATCATCGAGTCATCTAAATAACTTAAGAATTTTGCAAACGTGAATGAAAACATATATATAATAATCTAGATGAATGTGAATGTGTTTCGAGCGGATTATCGAGCCTCACTAACAATGAAAGGATGATTTCAGACGATTGTGTAAGGAACAAATCTCTTGAGACAAAGTCCTAATGAGGGGTGTTTTATTTATGAGGATTACAAATAGCAAGAAGCAAAAACACCTCCAAGAGGCACAAGCACACAAAGCGATTTAAAAGTTTGACAATAAGAATTAAAAGAAATAAAATTATATATTCTCTATTTGAGAGTGATTGATTTGGGGTCCTTTCTTCTATGTCTTATTTTTCTTTTTATATTCCTTTGACGGTTTTCTTTGTAAAACTACCTAGAAACTGCTTGGCGCTCTATAACTACCAACTTTCTTCGTGATGGCTGACTTGTCAAGGAACTGTCATTTGTAACTGTTGCTATTACTCTTGTCATTTAACCGCTTGTAACCGAGATTTTTGGGCCGTGGGGTGTGATAAGGTTGCTCAATAACCACTTCAATAACCGTCATTTTAAGTAGCCACAAGACACCGTATTCGCTCAAATCTCGAGTGACTCAAAGGCTTGGGCGAGAATGAGATCATCGCTCTGGGCGACAGTAAGGTACTTCATTCGCTCAGATCCTGGGCCTCCTACAGGTTTGGGCGATGGTAGTACTTTGTTTACGGGCCTCCGCTATATTCTGCAATGGTCTCATTTGGGCCTATATCTTGAACTCCCTAACGGGGCTCCAATTCTTGGACCATTTAATTGGGCTTCATTTTTTGTTTGTCAACAGAATGCAAACAGGAGGAGAAAATGGATAAATGATGGAAGTTTTCAAAACAAATCACGTTTCTACTTTTCAACCCAAAATATCAAGAAAAAAAGAAAAAATCTGTGAAGTGAAAAAAAAAAAAAAACAACTAAAAACTAAAAATTCTTCAACGAGCAAAACAACTTCAATCAGCGATTTGTAAGGGAAAATGACTTAACGTGACGATTTGAAAGGGAAAACATCGAATTTTGGTATTGAAAACAACTCCCACCCAACAGAGCTTGGTGGCCACGATGTGCAAGTCGAACAGATGTTTTCGAATTGGAGTCATGAGCGCGATTCTGATAACCGCATCCAAATTTATGGTTGAAATAGTTAAAAAGAACCAAAGTTGCACAAAATATGACTTTAAGGACCGAATTGTACAAGTTCCAAAAGTTCAAGGCCCTCGGTTTGAAATTTTGGGAGGATTAAATTGATAGTAAAGTCCGATTATGAGGACTAAAAAGTACAAAACTAAAAGTTTAAGGACTTGACGCGCAATTACACTGAGGACTTAACTGTAACAAATGAAAACAAAAAAAATAAAAATAAAAATTTACAGCTCCGTGCGCCAAGGAAAATTCACTCCGTGGCGCACAGACACTTAAAAAAAAAATTTGTTTCTATTTATTGCAGTTAAGTCCCT